AATGGTTCATTGGAAGAGAAGATATTTCAAATCTATTTTCGACTATATGCCATAAATCAAGATTTAACGAAAGCAAGAAAACTCTCATTCGAGTTTTCCAATAAGTGTAGTTCGTCCCATTGAAGAAGGAGGACGAATGAGAGAGTGACCCTCTTGGTTGCCAAAAAGAGTCATTTCTCTTGGGTATTAATCCAAGTGAGAAATAATGAGGCTCTGATGCCAACTGTTAGGATCAGGAGCACTAAGAGGGGGGGGTGAATGAGTGCAGCGGAAAACTTTCGACGATTAAAACTGCGTTCGTACGTTGAAATCTGATTCTGACGTAAAAGTCGTTTCGTGCAGATAATAACTTTGAAAGCTTACGGAAATGTATTTGAAGTAAAGTAAGGAAGGCAGTATGCAGTTAAGATAAATAGTAAGAATAAAATGCAAACCAGAGAAGACGGTAGTTTATAGTGGTTCGGTCAATCGGGACCTATATCCACTCCTCTAATTCCTCTTCTGTCGAGGCCACCAGTATCCACTAACGATCTTCCTTTGCTAGGCGAAGATCAACCTCCTTCTTACACCCCTCTTTTCCTTTTACCGGGTTTAGGATACAACCATTACAAGCACTCACTCTCATCTCTTAAACATAATTCTAATACTTAAGATAGAAGAGGGTTTCTCAATTGATTTCTACAACGTTTCTTTCCTTTTTGCTCTTTGTGCTTGTGTTCTTTAACCAGGGATGAGAAGGGTATTTATAGGCATCAAGTTGATTCAAACTTGGAGCCTAAAAATATCTCATCCCGGGTTCCCCGGGCACAGGCGGTACCACCGCCTGCGCTGGGAGGTACCACCGTCCAGTGTCGGTCTTCGCTAACACTACCCTAGGTGGTACCACCGCCCAGGTCTGGCAGTACCACCGCCCAGACTGGCGGTACCACCGCCCAAACTGGTGGTACCACCGCTTGGCACCTTGCTAGCGACGGTACAACCGCCCAGACTAGCAGTACCATCGCCTGACATAGTCTCGAAGACTATGCCACGACGGTGAGTCTTCTTGGGGCACTGTTTGGGCCTCTTATTGGGCCCAAAATAGTTTTTTCATGGGCCTAGCTGGACCCTAATTGGGTTGGCCCAAATCCAATCCCAATTACGTGCTAACTATAATTCCTAAGACATATTCTAAGCTAAACAAATCCTTATGTCAATTCTTCCGGCGATCTTCCGGCGAATCTCCAACGAACTCTCGGCAATGTTCCGGCGGACTCCCGGCAAGCTCTTGGACTTCACGACTATCTTCTTAGCAAGTTCCGACAAGCTTCTCTGGCAAGCTCCGCAACTTCTCGGCTGGTTCCCGCAGAACTTCTGTCGAACGTCCGGACTTCCGACGAACTCTCAAACTCCCAACGTGATCTCGATCTTGACTTCGGGACTTCATTTTGCTTCATGTCTTGCTATCGTAGTTAATCCTGCATATGTAAAACACACTTCGATCTAGACAATTAATACTAAGCATTAATCAAGTTGTCCGGCATGTCATTGGTCCCTCGACGCTTCGTCCGATTCTTCGGCTCATCGTTCTCTCCTACGGCCTATCGCCCAATCGGCCAGTTGACTCTGCAACTTCGATATCCTTGGCGCAATACCCGCTCTTCTTAGCCCGATGCCCGAATCCACGGCCCGAAGCCTTTTGTCGATACGTCGGCCAATCCATCGGCCCGACGTCCAATCTTCTGACATGTTCCTCCGGCCCAACATGATTTTTCCTGCTTTAATTATTTCATCCTGATCGAAGCATCCTACGTCACTCAAAACGTAGATTAAAACATAAACACATATCGATTGGTTTCATCATCAAAATCCGAGATTCAACACCGGCAAGCTCCCGGACTTTACGACGAACTTCATGGTGAGTTCCGACGAGCTTCTTTGGCAAGCTCCTGGACTTCTCGGTTGATTCCGGCAGAACTTTCGACGAACGTCCGGACTTCCGACGAACTCTCGAACTCTCAACGAAGTCTCAATTTTGACTCCGGCACAACACCTGCTTTACGTCTTACTACTATCATAGTTAATTCGACACACTTTTCTCAACATATAGATTAATTAGATTAAATAATTTATAATTGATTTCATCATCAAAATTCGATATTCAACATATATATATATATATATATATATATATAAATATATATATATATACATATATATATATAAATAAATATATATGTATATATATATACATGTATATATACATATATATCTGCATGTATATATATGTGTATATATACACGTATATATGTGTATATATATATACATTTGTATACATTTATACATATATATATATATACATATATATATATACATATATAAATACATATACATATTCATATACATATATATGTGTATGTATATAAATATGTATAAATATGTATATATATATATATACATATATATGTATATATATATATGTGTATGTATATATA